AATAAATAACTTTCTGTAAAACTATATATTGAGATTCAAAGTTCATGCACAATAATCCAGGTAAAGAAATTCAGCAATGTTCAGTCAGGTCATCTGGACAGTTCCTTTTGTTGTTTTTTTTTTTAGTTATGTTTCACCCTCCATCCGAAGGGCTTCATCAATCTGAGAAGTCACATATAAACTGTTTTCCCCAACAAGCAGTACACTCCTACAGTGGGCCAACCAGTTTGCTGGTGAGAAGATAGTTTCTGGGAGCTGTCCTCTCCACTGCCCACTCCTCCCCGACAACCATAGCCAAAGTGTATATTGGGCTGTTTATACTGTAGACACAAGATGTGAAAGTGGAAGATCTACATCCTCCTGGTCCATCAACAAATGTTCAACCTAAGTATGGCTGGTCTGTTTCTGCTGAGTTGAAGACATCATAGTAAAACTCCTGGGAAATGCATCCCCAGTTCATTCAAGAACAAGCGAAATCTTCAGCATAGCCACTGATATGATGGACTTCATTGAGCCTAAGCATGTCCAACGCATGCTGCTTAAGGCATAAATGCCAGTTAGAGATAAAGGAAACAAGTACATTTTTTATCTTGTGTATTAGCTTTTTTTTTTTCCGCATGCTCTCGTGCAAGGCGGATGCATTTTCTTCCCTCTCCTGTTCTCCTCCTGCTTTTTTTGCTCTGTCTGTGTATCAGACCTCCCATTTTACACATCTTCTGAAACGAAAACTACTGTCATGGATCTGGTCAGCTGGACTTTAATCACAATCGACAAAATCTTTTCAACAAAGCGACAGGGTCCTGGAGAGCCCTCATGTCCCTCTGAGACTCACACTGCAGGATACATCATGGATGTGAGAGCTGATGTGTCTTTCTGTTTTGTCTCAGAGGACACCAAAGACATATAATTAGAATTATGATAACAGGTTTCCTGCTTTGTGGAATCGGCTGGTTCCTGGTCTATCAACATACAAAGAAGACGGCTGCAGCTAATTCAGCCTTCGTCAGGCTGCCTGCCTTGTGAAGGTTTGGTTTGTGCTTTGAGGACTCAAAATCTGCTGATTTATTTGTTCATTCAACCTTTATTTAGACAGGTTACTCAGACAGGTTAATTGAGAAAGTTCCTCAGATGAGGAGCGAAACGTCTTCTGTTACAAATAAAGTCCAGTTGTTTTTGTATTGAACGTTTTTTGAAGACAGGTAGATCCCATTGAGCCTCGAGGACTCATTTACAAGAGAAACCTGATTTCAACAAAGAATGATGACAACAGAGGACAACAATAGACAGTTATAAAAAGGCATACAGATTTTTTTTCTTTTTTTATGCAAATAAGATGGCAAGAAAAGTAACAAACACAGCTAGTCAAGTCAAGTCAAGTCATCTTTATTTGTAGAGCACAATTTAAAACAGATAAACTGTTATCAAAGTGCTTAACAGAAATGTAGCAAAACATAGGCAGCAAAACAAAAACATCATACAGAATTAAAATTACTGGAGCAATAACACACACTAATGATCACACTAAGGAAAAACAAGCAGTAAAAATAAACGTCAATCATAAAACAACAGAATTTAAAATGAGGTACACAGAACAAAATAAACTAACTCACACAGTATTAAACGCCAGAGCAAACAGGTGCGTTTTAAGGAGGGATTTGAACATCAGGAGGGAGGAGGCCTGCCTGATGTTGAGGGGCAGGTTGTTCCACAGGTTGGGACCTCTGACTGAAAAAGCTCGATCCCCTCGGAGCTTCAGGCGTGATTTTGGAACGACCAAAAGAAGCTGGTCCGATGATCTCAGGGCCCGAGACGGAACATATGGTTCCAGGAGCTCGGAGAGGTAGAGGGGTGCGAGGCCATTTAGGCACTTATATGTCAGGAGGAGAATCTTGAAGTCGATTCTGGATCGCACAGGAAGCCAGTGAAGGGAGGACAGAACAGGTGTGATGTGCTCAGACCTACGTGTACCAGTTAAAAGCCGAGCAGCTGCATTTTGGACGAGCTGGAGACGTGAAATGGACGCCTGACTGACCCCAGCATAAAGTGAGTTACAATAGTCCAGGCGGGTTGTGATGAAGGCATGTTTCAAGGTTGGGTCTGGATAACACTGGCTAGATTATAAGGTGAATGTAAAAAACTATAAACAGGAACATGTCTGCATTGGTCCTTGCCAGGAGCCCAACAGATTCTCCCACTGAGCCTTGGGGACTCATTTACCAGAGAGACCTGATTATAAAAAGAGTGATGACAACAGTAGACAATCATAAAAAGCATGCAAACTGACAAGAACAAGTGAAAGAAAATGGTATTTAAAAAAAAAAACGAAACAAAAACAGCTAGGTTGTAAAGCGATGTAGAAAACTAAAAACAGGAACACGTCTGCATTGGGTTTTTGCCATGAACTTAACAGATGTTTGAAGCCACTTAGGTCAAGGTCGAGAGCTTCAGATCTTTTTGCAAAATATTCCAGGAAACAGGAGCGGAGTAGGAGAAGGTCCTTTTGCCAAGTTCAGTCCGCACATGAGCTAAACTGTAAGATGGAAGCAATTTGTGAGAATCACAGGCCACCTGCATCTTCTGAGACTCACCAGCATGTTGGAAACGACTTTGGAGGAGGCTCATAATCACGGACCAGTGGAATGCCCACTAATCTGAAGTACCAGCAGGACTTAAGGCTGACAAGAAAAAAAACAGTCTGCCTGAAAAAAATCAACAGTTGTGGCTTATCTGAATCTGACTCCCCCGGTTGGCCTCGAAGCAGGTCGACTTCTCAAATTCCTCCTGGGAAATGTGTAAACTGTGTAAGGAAAAGCTTCGTCTATCTCTCCCCCCCCGGCCCCGAGACCTTCTGTGGAGACTTATCAGAACTGTGCCGGCTGACCAACATCTTATCAGGACTATGGTCTATCTGGATGTGCTTCATGGACAAATCTCACTGCCTTGCCATCAAATGCATATGTATTGTGTTTATAAATGTGCTTCCTGGCAGAGTTTTTTGATGTCTTAAATTGTGTCCTGATGGGACACGGTGTCAAGAGATCTTTTTTGTAATGCCACTATCCTCTCCTCATGTTTTCTTTTCTGTCTAAAAAAGAAGTATTCTGAAACGGATAAGAGGCCGCGCTCCAGTAGCAGCAGCAACGTGCACTCCACCCATCTTTCAGACAACTGTACAAACATAATTTCACTGGATTATTGAGCATGCATCAGGATAAAATTTCACTGTATTTCGCTACAATGATAATTCTGATGCTTGATTCTGATTCGCTCCATTTTTAATTTACAGTATTTTATATATAGCAATCATGTTGAAATGAAACACACATGTATATATACAAAATATATGCACACACTGTCTCTCCCACACCCTCACAATCATAGGAACACAAGAATTTCTAAAAAGAAACTCACAATCAAGCAAATGAATAATTGACACAGTATTGAACTTTTAGTTGTGTGACTCTTTTTCATGAATATTTCCATTGAGCTACTGTAAATGTACCAGAGAACCCACATTCAAAAGGAAGTGGAAGAATACTGAAAGAGATGAATATAGAGGATGCAGGAGAGAAAGACAACAGGATGACACGGAGAAGGACAAAATGGAAATACATAGTTTTTAAATATAGTTTGAAACAGTGTAATTTAGGTTAATGTCAGCATCATCAGTTTTTCATCAGTTCTGTTTTGTAGGTTTTTGATCATTTTTGAACAATTTAAACAAAATCTTTGTTCAGCTTATGTTGTTTATGTAATAAATGACTATCTGATCCACATTTACTTAAAGTTTAATGATCTACATCAATTGTTTTTAGAATTATTAAATTAAAATCAAAGATTGAAAATGCACATATTAACAAATCAGGTTTTTTATAATGTTGTGAAATCATATTATGTGTTTCTATTCTTTATTTTATTGCATGTCACAGTAAAAAAGTATAATTACAACATATTTCAGGACTTTAGCTTCTTGTTTGGACTGGAAAAATAATTCTGTATTTTTAGTCTGATGGAGTTGAAACAAAACAAAATGTTGAGGGAAATGTTTATTTTATTAAAAGTTTTTTATGTTTAGAACCTGTTCCTTTACACAATTAAAAGGTTTAGCCATTTCTTTAGAGATACAGCGACAGACAGTGTGCATTTTAAAAACTGATTTTTAAAACCAGTTTTGTCCCTTATTGCAATGATCATTGATTCTCGGTGTTTAAACGAAAGAATAAAGTTAAATAAAATAAACTTTTATGCTTTTTCCTTTTGCTTCTTTCTCACTTTTGTCTTTGCATATACATCCATATGTGTATGCTTCACTGTTTTTGTTCACTTCCTGGAAAAAATATCCTTCCTTCCCCTCACTTTTTGGCTGTACAATCTGTGTTTTTCCAGTGCATAGCTCTAAACCTCATCGTCTGTTTAGTGATGAGTTAGGAATCAAAGCCAGTAGTATGGACATCCTTATGAAAGATTTACTAGAAATCTCTCAGCATCTGTTATTAACTCATTCAGTTTTTATTTATTCTTTTACGTTTTGTCTTGTGACTTTCTGGTCTCCTGGAGTTGCTCTGGTCCTAGAAGCAACAGGGTCAGGGTTGCAGCGTGATCTAAAGCCTTGCTGCACGCTGCCCAACAGCTGCCAGGGAGAGAGCATTGGTATGTTAACATAGCAAGGTTAAAATAGAAAGTGAGCTGCCTGAGTGGGTGTTTACATGTGTGTTTGTGTATTAATTCACGTCATGAAATGTCAAAGCATTTTTGGTACTTAATCTTTAAAAGCCAAACTTCTTGTCCCAAATGTCTGAAAGGTACGAATCTATAGGGATGTGAGTCTACTCCAAACAAGTTGTTAAATCAATGTCACCAGCTTTTCTGACCCTGAATCTAGAGCAACCTGTCCATGATCCACTGTGTTCAAGGTCAGCATTCAGCATCTCAGCTTTGATTAACTACCCAATCAAGCAGCCTCTCTGATGCCTGGAAGGATGTGGTGAATCAGCTCTTACCTTGTGACATGTTCAGCCTGTTTCCTCCACGTTTTGATCCTGAAGGCCTTTCCCTCCCTGCCTGCTGCAGTCTGTCCTCAGATCTGCCTGTGTGTCTCCTGAGCAGTCAGGGAGCGTAGCATGCAACGACTATATGATGAATGCCACCGTGCAGCCCCTGCCATAACACAAGCTGGCTTTGCTTGTGTGTGAAAGGGAGCACTGAGCAAGGAGGAGCTTGCAAACATGCCTCTGTCCTGCAGGGCTGACAGTAGGGAGAGAGACTTTCAGAACCACACCCACGCCATCAGAGTGCCGGTGAGGAAAAACTGAGGAAAATATGTCAAAGTTTGATATGACACAAAGTTTCAGGGAAATGTACAATCAGATATCATTAGTAACAGACATCGCTGTGTGAGAATATGTAACTTTAATCAATGTGGTCCTTGTAGTGTGTGTCCTTTGGAGTCAGATTCACAGGTGGATGAGCGGAGAGCTCAGTGTTATCCATGAGGTGAATTATATCTGTGAATGTCTTGTTCTTTAGAGATTCTTTATCAACATGTAACCAAATATTTTGTCTGACGCATCATGATGTCAGGAGAGTTTACTTTGCTCTTTATGATAACCCTGACACATATGTGGCTTAAGATTGTTGTGGAAAAATTAGAAATTGCTTTAGTAGAGGGAAATGTTTATCAGCAGCTGATAGGTTTGCCATAAAATCTTGCATAGGCAAAAGTACTCACGTAGCATAGGCAAATTTTATATTTACGCACAGAAATGCTGCTGTGTTGCTTCATGGATAAACTGAATTAACAAAAAGTTCTGTATGTATCAAAAAATTGTCATGTCATCTGGACAAATCATTTTTGGAAGAAACGTTTTGTCTTTCATCCAAAAGACTTCATCATTCTGAGGCCTGCCAACAGGATCTATCATATTAAATAGCATCCTACTGATGTATTTCAAACCAGTCTACTGTGAAATTCCCATAAACTGGCTTTACACATGCAAAAGGAGGATTGGGCTAACGTGCTATTACTGTATGTGTCAAAGTATTGTAGTGATTTTCTTATTTATGTACTGCATTTATTTATTTTATGAAGCAAGATTTGAGATCAATCCATTTGCTGGGAGCTGGTATCTATCTGTAGCGGTCACTGTACGAAAGGTGGCGGACCCCTATTATAATTATTTTTATCCTGACAGGAGTCCATTTTCACTATGTTCTGGTGTGGTGAACCGAGCATCACAAAACTTGGCACTTATTTGGAACTAGCATTGGAACTAGCATATATATATATATATATAAATATATGTATACATTTATATAAATGTATCGATCCCTTATTATAATTATTTTTATCCT